AAGAATTCCAGCTTCAGTCACCACCTGGAGCATGCTTTCAAGTAGCCTGGAAACCTTGGAGTTCCGATCAAATCCAGGCCTAATCGGCCCTGTTCCATTGATTCTTGGCAACCTCAAGCGGCTGAAGTCTCTAATCCTACTCGAAAACGGATTAGCAGGGGAGTTACCAACAAAGATATGCAACTTGGTCAAACTGAAGCAGTTGGTACTTTCATCGGACTAGAAAATTCCTGAAGCCCTGGGAATGAAGCGAGAGCTCTTGATACTCGACGCAAACAGAAATTCGCTCACTGGGTCCCTACCCTTGAGCTTGGGAGGGTTGGTTTCGCTTCTGAAGCTCGATTTGAGCAGCAACCAGATTGGAAGAAAGCTTCCCTAAGAAATGAAAAACCTTCAGAACCTCACGCTCTGGACTTGAGAAGCAACAAGATATCTGGTGCATTGGTTCCTCAGGCGGTGGAATCAATGGTTTCTCTCAAGGAGCTGGTCGTTTTCGACAACCCAATCGGCGGCGAAATCGAGGAAATTCTATGGCGAAGTCTGCCGAACCTGGAAATTTTGGAGCTTTCCCATATGGGTTTGGTTGGAACGGTTCCTGAGTCAATTACACGAGTGAAGAAGCTGAGGTTTTTATGGCTGAACGACAACAATCTGTCCGGTAGCCTATCGTTGAAGCTCGCGGAATGGAGAATTTGGGAGCTATGTATCTTTAGAACAATAATTTCGCTGGACTGATGGGATTTCCATAGAGATTTTACAGAAGAATGGGGAGAAGGTTTTGAGCTTGGAACAATGCAAATATTGGCTATCTAGAGGAACACTACAAGAAAACTCGGCTTTAGAAGCAGAGCTTATTTGCTTCTTTTTTTTTTTTTACGGGAATCTGTGGGGCTTCTTATTAACCAGTGTTGGTGGTTACATTATCCAGCTGTAACTGGTCAACTAAAAAGAAAGGGGGACTATCCATCCAAACGATACATTCATTCCATCTCGTTTCCGTATGTGCCATAATGTGAGCTGCATTATTCCCATCTCAGCCGACATGCTGCCAAGTTCATGTCCCTGATTCTTCAAGAAAGCGACGGATGCTCCTGCAAATCACTCCAATCTCCGAATTAATCTCCTCGGCTGCTTGGATTTTTGAGACCAATCCCAGGCTGTCAACCTCAATGACAAGGTTCATAAGATGATGCTGATGCGCCATTTGTGCACCAAATTCCGCTGCCCTCGCCTCTGCCTCTTCGACCTCCCAACGACCAGGAACTTTCATAGATGCCGCCATTAGGAACTGGCCCTGTGAGTCCCGAGCAACCATTCCCAGACCGATTCCACCTCCCTGAAGGATGGCCGCATCCGTGTTGATCTTTATGTGTCCAGGTTCCGGTGCACACCATATATCGTTACCCCTCGCGTCCTCCTGGATCATCACATCAGCTTGCTGGGCCCTGTAGTCAGCGAGAAACGCCTGTGCTCGGGGAAATATCTCCTGCTCGTTCATCTTTGTGCCATTAAAGAGCTGGGCATTGTGCTCCCGCCACAAGAACCACAGGGCAATACACCAGGCTTCGACAGCCTCCTTATCCCTCCCAGCCATGGCTTCAACAGTCCATCGGTAGCAGTGCTCCAACGTCCGGCAGGAGAAAAATGCTGCCAGATCAGATTCTCGCCAAATTCTAGAAGTCCATTCACACTCACCAAAAAAATGCACCTGGGTTTCCCTGCTATCGCAGAATGGGCATTTATCACTCCACTTCGTGCTCTTTGTACTGATTTTGTCGCCCGTCGGAAGGATTCCTCTCATAAAGCGCCACATGAAATGCTTGACTTTAGGAGGAATTTTCATTGACCAGAGGAACTTCCAAATGGCCGCATCACCAGTAGGGGTCATATCGCGATGTCGGAGGAAATTGTCCAGCCAAAACTTGTAACCATCCTTAACAGTGTAATCACCCGACGCACTCGCCGACCAGATTAACTTATCTCTTTCGCCATTACCTCTTAGCGGGATTTGCAGTATACGCTGACCGACTTCAGCTGGCATGCACTCTTCAATGGTATCCCAATCCCACCTCCCTGTTACCGGGTCAATAAGCTGTCGGACGTTGGAATCCACTGGGAGGCCGCGAGGGGCCGAGGGAACAAAGTCAGGCGAGCCCCCAGGAAGCCATCGATCACCCCAAATTCTCACATCAGCTCCGTTCCCAATGCACCAGCGCAACCCACTGTTCAGAAACTCCTGCGCGCTACAAAGGCTCCTCCATATGAAGCTTGGACGATAGCCTACACTTGCATCCAAAACCGAGTTGTGTTTGTGATACTTAGCTCTTAAGATTTGAGCGATCAGGGAGTTAGGACGCTGAAACACCCTCCATAATTGTTTGGCAAGCATGGCAGTGTTGAACCCCTCTAGATCCCTGAACCCAAGACCACCCTCCTCTTTCGGCACTAGCATACCTTCTCTACTTAGCCAATGAGTTCACCTTTCAGAACCTTTCTGCCCCCAATAGAAATTCATGATAAGACTATGAATTTCGTTAATGATAGCACTCGGGATTCGGAAGACGGACATGGCGTAGGTGAGCTGGGCTTGAGCAACGGAGCGGATCAGGGTATCTCGTCCCGCCACCGAGAGGGTCTTCTCTTTCCACCCCTTCAACTTCTTCCTAATTCTTTCCTTCAGACCACTAAATACCTCCTTCTTGGACCGACCCACAACAGTAGGGAGCCCCAGGTACTTGTCATGCTTTTCCACTAATGACATCTGCAGAGTACCGCTAATCATCAGTTTCTGGTGAGTCTTCACTTTCCCACTGAAGCACACAGCAGAATTTTGGAAGTTCAGCAGTTGACCAGATTCTTTCTCATATTGGGTGAGAATTTCTTTTAACACACCACTTTCCTGCTCCGTGGCCCTCCCAAAGAACACACTGTCATCTGCAAAAAACAGGTGGGAAATCGTCGGAGCTCCCTGTGCCGGCTTTAGACCGTGGAGTTTCTTATCTCGAACCGCAGCTTTTGTAATTGCAGACAACCCCTCCGCAGCTTTTGTAATTGCACAAACCCCTTCGCAGCTTGTCGGAGGCCTCGACTCGGCACGAATGTCGCCGACTGATGCCCGTTAACTAGGATCGAGTAGGAGACCGTGCTAATGCACTTCATGACCAGGTCGATCCAACGCCGGTCGAAGCCCATCTTGGACATCACCCCTTCCAGGAAATGCCACTCAACGCGATCATAAGCTTTTGCCATGTCGATCTTTGCTGCAAACATCCCCACCCCCGCCTGTGATCGGGACTTCATGGTGTGGAAGCATTCAAAGGCTGCCATAATGTTATCCGTGATAAACCGACCTGGGACAAAAGCACTCTGTTCCTGCGATATCACAAGGTCCAAAATCATCTTTAACCTATTAGCCAGTACCTTGGCCACCAGTTTATACAACACATTGCAGAAACTGATGGGGCGGAAGTCTTTGGGGGTGCTTGGTTCTTTGATCTTCGGGATCAGGGCGATAAGGGTGTGATTAAGTTGTGGCGGCATCGGGCCTCCCTCCAAAATACCCAACACCGTAGCAACAACATCGTCCCCTACCACCTCCCAGTGCTTCTTGAAAAAAAGAACCGAGAACCCATCCGCACCCGGGGCCTTTCTCGAGCCCATCTGTTTTAGAGCACGGTAAACTTCCTCCCTGTCAAACGGCTTCACAAGCTCATCGTTCTGCTCTTGAGTAATCGACGCCTGAATGGCGTTCAGGACCGGAGAGTCCGTGGGCGGGCATGTAGCTGTAAACAAGCCAGAGAAATAGTCAGTAAAACAAGTAAAAATCTGCTCTGGCTGCGTGTGCCAAACTCCATCTCCATCCATGACTCGTTTTATCGTGTTCCTTTTCCGGTGTGCACTGGCTTTTTTGTGGAAGAAGGGTGTATTCTTGTCACCTCCCTGCAGCCAGTCCGCCCTTGATCTCTGGCTCTAGTAGAGTTCTTCATTCGCCTCGAGCTCTGCAAGTTCCAGCTCCAGCTGCCTCCGCTGCTCATCCCAAACGGCTGTGCGGGGTCTTCTCTCCAGGGCTTTCATGGCCTTCTTTATTTTTGCTTTTTGGGTGCCAAACCGAGGGAAAGTCTCCTTGCTCCATTGCTCAAGCGATGACCTGCAAGACAACAGCTTAGTTAGAGTATCGGATCCTGCCTGGTTCCTCCAAACCTCCTCCACCTCCTTGGGGCAGTCTACGTGCTTCGCCCAGTGGGGTTCATATTTAAATGACCATCCCCATTTAGGCTCGACATCCTCTTCTCCTTGCGTATCACACACTATCGGCCGATGATCCGACCTCTCTTTATCAAGATGGAGCACTCGGGCCACCGAGAAAGCACCACTCCACGCATCATTTGCAACAAACCTGTCCAATCGCTCCTCAATGAAGGCACCATGAGTTCGTCGATTTTCCCATGTAAAAGGGTATCCGCTGTAGCCCAGGTCACAGAGACCCACATCACTCAGGCAGTCATCGAACTCACACATCGCCGCATCAGCTACCAACCCGCCACCACGTTTCTCTTCTGTAAACCGAACTTGATTCAAGTCCCCGCCACACAGCCAAGGGCCTTCCCACTGTGTAGCCAGTCGTCGAATAAGCTCCCAGGATCTCCACTTGTCCGCATCTCCAGGCCATCCGTAGACTCCCGAGAACCTCCATATACCACGTTCATCCTCAGTAACTCGAGCATCCACATGATGTAGAGAGATGGACATAATCTGAATATTAACACCTTCCCGCCACCACAAACTAAGACCCCCAGCTCGGCCTCCACCAGATTGATCCGTGGACCAGCCTTCTCCACTCTCGAACCCCAACTCTAGTTGAGTCACCTTATTTTCCTCAGCCAACTGTTTTGTTTCCATCAAGAAAACAACATGCGGGGAGTAAAGCCGCAAGAGCGACTTGAGAGATCTAACTGCCCGCTTACTCCCCAGACCGCGGCAGTTATAGCTTAAAATAAGCATTAATGACCCAAAGTGGATAGATTCCCCGCACCATTATTCGTAGCTTGGCCTTCATTCGCCTCCATCATACTGCTTCTATCATTCACAGCCCTTGTATCGCCCGGTGATAGCCTATTCTTCCCCACGTCCTTTGCATGGTCTGCATGCAGATCATTAACCCCTTTTGTGCCCATTTTCGTACCCTTTCCTTGCCCTTGCGAACTTGTTTGCCTACCTCCCTTTGTTGGAGGTACTTGGTCATGCATACTGACTCGGCTGGATAATCCAGTCGTGAAACTTTCTTTACCTTCGACAGACTTTCTGTTGGGCTTGTCAGGGCTTCCCTTCCTCGGACCTGACCCCTTCTCCTTCATCCTTTCTCCTTGATCAGATTGTGTTACCATTCCCGTGGGAATGGCCTCCTGCTCCAGCCCATCATTCCCGTTTTCAGCATCCTCCCCCAGGGCCTCAAATCTGTTCATATGGTTCTCTCCCCTCTTAGTTTCATTAGCTTTCAATGGGCTCTCCACTTTCTTTGTTGACCACGACCCTTTCTTTTTCACGGACATCCAGTCACCATAGGCTCTTCCTGCCGTTTGGGAGGCAATCGGAGAGGCACTGTTATCATTCACTATCTGTTCCTCCGATTCAACTCCCATTTTGCTACACTGGCATTTGCTCGCCGTCTGACCGAACATTCCACACTCACCGCATATTTTCTCAAGTCCTTCATATTGGATGATATACGTTACTCCCTCAACTTTGTATTGTGACAGGAGAGGCTTTGTTAAGTCAACTTCAACACTAACTCTTGCGTAGTTTCCTCGGGCCCCAAGCTCTGTGGCTCGATCCACTCGAACAGGTTTCCCGATAAGCTGTGCAATCATAGTGACCGCCTCCGCATTAAAGAACTCAATAGGTAGATCTGGAAGTTGTACCCAGACGGTGGTTGACTTCACTGTCGCTTTCCATGGATTGAAACCTTTGTACCACCGATGCACAGTGAGATAGGTCTCACCCAGTAACCAGGGTCCTCCCTCAGAGGCTAACTCATAATCTTTCTTGCTCCGGAACTGAACCAGGAAGCATCCGTTCTTCATGTCCGAGATTTGGATGTCCCCATGACGGGCCCATAGGTAGTTCAGTCTTCTAGACAATGGGAGGAAAGCAACCTTTTTGCCAAGTCCTTGAACAATCAGAGCTGATCTCCACTCACGTCTCCATCTAATTTTCTGTGAAGCAGTGAAAGGCACCGAGGGGTAGCGGGGATCGTCCTCTTCACCAATCTCCTCATCCTCTTCTTTCTCACGCTGGAGAACATCTTCCGAATCAGATTCTTCAACGTACCAGCTATCGTTCTTAAGAACTTCACTAAATAGACGTGATCCGCCACTCCGCCAAGCTCCACTCGGGGAACCCTCCTTCGTAGAACTCGGAACTCCTTCTTGTGGGATCTCCGTTTCCATCTCTTCTGGGCTCTCGGTAGCCGAGCTTGCTTCAGTCTGGGGAATCTTTATTGCCTTGACCTTTTTCTTAGGTTGAGTAGTTTCTTTTGCACTTTTCCCATCCGGCAACGAGGAGCCAATCGCCGTCCGCCGTGCACCACTGATATCCGGTGGTTTTTTCGTCGGCAGGGGGTCCCATTCGGCGGAGGCGCCGCCATCGCAGAGACGGGAAGATATCGGGGTTTTCCTGACAGGGAGAGCTCCGAGAATTTCGGAGCCTAGGGTTTTCGCAAAAAAATCCTCTAGGAGGAGATTGAAAAGACAATTAACTTTAGAGCTTATTTGCTTCTAAATGATATTTATTTGACTCTATATATCTATTGAGTCAAATGCATTATTTGCATCAGACGCCTCTGTCTCTAATTCCTTTTAGAGACGAATATAGAAACAAATAATATATGCTACTAATTATGGAATTGGAGGCAAATTTATTTGATTGTGAATCTACTTGAGCTTGTCTTTTGACTTCTTATTTACTTTTCAAGGCAAACACATTTGCTTGCTATGCTAGTTTTTACATGCAATCATATTTTGCTTTTGATGTACATAATGGAGACATAAATATTTGACTCTAATGAAAACAATTCGAGACAAAAAGTTTCATTGTTTTTTTTTCTTTTAGTTTCAAATAATATCATTTTATATTGCCCGTTAATAATATGGACACCATTGGTTTTTCCAAAAATCAGAATATCTCGATTATATAAATCAAATATATGAATCGTTACATGGATCTTAAAATTGATTGCATCAAATCAAATTGAATACATTGATTTTGTTTACATTTCGAATGCCAATTTAGTTTGGCAACGAAAAAACAACACTAAAAATATATTCTTAATTAACAATGGAGGACTACCAAACTCTTTCTCTCTCCCTCGTCATCTTTTTTCCATTGCTGCTGTTGCCACCTACCAATCCATCACTATTGCGAGCAAAGATGAGGAGACGGTGGAGGGAGAAGAAGACACGACGGTGGTGGTTGATCTACCCTAAAATTAAAATTATAACTAAGCCCACCTTCAAGATGTAGATCTATTCACGCCGTCGTGTTGATCGAACGCCATTGTTACCATGTAAGCCTGCCGACTTGCCGTTGCTTAGAGAAGTCCTTTACTCCAATCTCGTCGTCATTTCCACTGGCATGCCACCAACTACCCGAAGGAAGATAGAAGGGTAGAAAGTGAAGGAAGAAAATAATAAGGGAAGTGGACGGTTCTGTAGAGTGTAGAGTAGAGACTAGAGATGGAAGAAAAGGAAAGAGAAGATCGATAGCCGGCTCTCCGTTGAGATTCGGAAAAACAATTATTGGTGTGGTAAAAAAATTTATATATACCATCCTCTACCGTTATGATATTAACCTTTAAAATTACATTCGTATTTATCTTAAAAATAAAATTATGCCATAGCATAAGTAATAGTTGTATTTATCTCTAAAAACTATTAAAATTGTCTCTATATGACAATATGTTTTAGAGACAATTAAATATGCTTCAATAAATGCTTTGTTAAAATTATTAGTATACTTTTTAGGAGAAAATGTTATAATCGTCTCTTAAACTACTAGTTTAATTCTACCAAAAAAAACTACTAGTTTAATTTTATCAATTAAATATTAAAAAAATATTAAGATACAGAGACAAATAGCAGAACATATCGAAGCAGATAATATATATGCGTACATAGGGCTGGCATTTCGGTTTGCGGTTAGCGGGTAACCGCCGGTTTTAACCGAAAACCGCCGGTTACCAGCTAACCGAAAACCGACCGGTTACCTTGACGGTCGGTGGTCGGATGGGAAAAGGAAGGGGTCGGTTGATCGCGTAACCGACAGTGATTAACCGCGGTTATCCGACCTAACCGGGCCAACCGAGACCCACTTCACCTTCCCCAAAATATGTCCAGATTCATCCCATTCCCAAATCTTATATAAAAAAAAACCCCCCAAATACAGGAAGAAGAAGAAGCAGCAGATCTCGACCAAAAAAAAAAGCAGCAGCAGATCTACACTCGCCATCCTCTCCCTTCTCGCGCAGCCTCCACCCACCAGCAGGCAGCAGCTTCGCCGGCGGTGACCTCTTCTTCTCCTCTCGCCCGCGAACAAAACCCAAAAGAAATAACACAGATCAAAAACAAAAACCAAAATCAAACCCTCAAAATTCGACATGCAAGTGAGAGAACTTGATCTCACCTTCTTCTACCGTCGCCTACCGTTCGTCATCGTAATCACCGCCAGTTTCATCCGTCACCGCCGCCGCAGCTTCATCCATCGCCGCCGCCGCCGCCTCATCCGTCGCCTCCGCCGCCTCAATCCGTCGCCGCCGCTTCTGGGTAAGACGAGGGAGAGCGAAAAAGAGCAGAGAGAGGGAGAGAGAGAGAGAGGCCGAGTTCCTCTGGAAAGGAAGAAGAAGAAGAGAGAGAGAGTAGGGAGGAGGCGGGTTTCTCTGGAAAGGACAGATCGAGAAATGGAGTAGGAGGCGCGGGGAGAAGCAAATCGCGAGAGAGAGAGACGAAAGTGAGAAGGGGATTCGTATTTAGGAATATATTTTTGTTCAATTGTCGAAGTTGGGAGGCTGGAGATCGATTTTTGAGAGAAGAAGAACAAGAGTGGAGGCGATTTGAGAGAGGGAGAGAGCTAGGTTTTGTTTCGTTTTTCTTCTTTTAGTTTTTTCTTTTCTGGTTCGTGTTTTCCTGGAGAAGAAGATGAGAGGACGAGAGAGGGTGAGGAAGAAGAAGAAGAGAGAGAGAGTAGGGAGAGAGGCGGATTTCTCTAGAAAGTGGAAAGGAAAGAAAATCGAGAAGTGTGATGGGGTTAGGAGTGAGTGGTTGGCCGGCTAAAATTTTGTTTTTTTAATTTTTTTTTTTAGAAAAGGTTGTTTTTCGGTTGGCCGGCTAACCGGGCCTAAAACCGAAACCGACCGGTCGGTTGGCCGGCTAACCGTGACCAATCTCACGGTCGGTGGTCGGTGGCTAGGGGGATGTCTCGGTTTAACCGATAACCGGATTTTCGGTTTTCGGTTAAACCGAAACCGACCGACTGCCACCCCTATGCGTACATAGCTTAGATTTAGAGACGAATGAAATAATTGTCTCTAATTATTTGTTTCTAACGCCTACTTTTTTTTGTAGTGGAACCAGAATCTATATCGCCGCTGGAAGCAACATCAGCAATGCCAGGAAGCAACAATGATGTTGTCCGACCGCCTTATTGTGTGAAACATTTTCGTTTTGTGATCACTAATTAACCCATGGATTGGTCCACAAATATAGTTTCGGTCACTTGTTAGTTGTTACTAATATTGATGCTTTGATGATAGAGATGTAAGATGAGTGATGATAACGGGTTGGGTTGAGTTTTTTCAAATTCAAACTCAATTTAGTGGGAGTACACCCAACTTGATCCATCCACTACTCGCTCGTGTATGGATATTCATGTGTTCATGAACATAACATCGAATAATTCCTCCTAATCATGGTAGTCATGCCAGTGGCATGTTGATCGGTTGAACCTGGTTCAATCTATGTCAGTCATGAAATTCGCGTGACACCAGCGGTATGACCGACATAATAGAATTACGCATTATAAACAAAAAAAAAATATTTTCAATGAATTTAATTAGTAAAAAATACATTTTATTATTTATTTTATGAATTTAATATTTAAAAGTAATTGGTATTTGTTGGATTGTAAGTAAATTGTCCAAAAATAAATTTTATATATGATTAAATTCCTTGGATATAAATCCTTTTCACATGTTTTTAAACCGGCATGAACCGATACAAACTAGTTATACCTCCAATGGCAAAGTATCAAATTTTGAGATTTTTTTTCGAAAATAAACATTTTCAAAAGAAAATTCTCAAATAGTGGTACTTCACAACTACAGTATAGCAAAAAATTTGTTGACAAGGCAAGGGGAAGCAAATGTAACCACTTGAAAGGATTTTCGTCCGAAAATTTTTTCTCTATCCTTCCATCGGATTCACTACAGATCTTGTTCCCATATGATCCCAGTCGTCGTCCATCCACCTTGATCTCTCCAGACGCAGCCTTAACCTCTCCATCCCAGCCGACAAGTAGGGATGGCATTTCAAACCGCGCGGGCGGATACCCGCCCGAAACCCGGCTGGGCGGAACAGTTCCAACCCGGCGTTGACAGGGAATTGACGGATTCGGAGAAACCCCTTATCCGTGGGTAACAGATGCCGGGCGGTGACGGAGTCCATTCTATCCGCCACGAGCCCGCCCCAGTCCAGAAAACGACGATGTATATATATAATGCCCAAAAATCCCGCTAATTCGAGGTCTAGGTAGCGTTTTCATACTCAAGGTATGCGGTACCCTGGATTTCAGCTTGGGTACCGTAGAACTCCCCATATATATATATATATATATATATATATATATATATATATATATATATATATATATATATATATATATATATATATATATATATATATATATATATATATCCTTCAGTCGAGCAAAGGGTAAACCCAAATCCCTAATTGAAAACTCGCCGCTCTCTCTTCTCTTCTCTCAATCACCGCTCAATCCATCGATTCGATTTTGGATTATTGCCAATCCCCCGCGAAATTCTCTCCATCCAGGCTGTCAATCATTCATTATCATCTTCATTCACCAATCAAAGCCTAATATCCTCATTGATTTAGGCAAAGAACAACATGCAAAAGGAGAAGATGACTGTTCCAATCTCCGATTCGAGGTTATTGGGAGGATTTGTCGTTGATTATTGTTCCGATAATCCAGAACTCGAGATAAGTACCTTCCACTTCAATTATTCTTTCTTGTTTCGGTTTCTTCCTTTAGTTTTAGGTTCGTATAAATTAACTCGAATGGTTCTTTCTAGGGCCCTTCATTTTCATCTTCATCTGCACCTGCGAATGCATGCTCTGATACTCGAGGTAATCACTAATCAGAGTTCCTTAGTCTTTAGTAAATAGTAATTAATAGTTTGTTGTATTGATTTTGACTCATTGGAATGTAATGTTCGTAATTTTGTTTGAGTTTTTGCATTTTCGTATCAGCCATTAGGTCACCATCTAGGACTCTGGACAACAGACCCCCTCTCTCCAGATTCGAGGTTAGTTAAGGAATTAAGGACGGTTTACTTAATTTGGTTTGCATGTATTAGGCTTTAGGGACTCGAGTTTCTGTTGATTGCTTGGGTATGCTCATGAATCATGTCTTGTTTAGTATAAGTGTCTCATCTACATTTTGCAATTGAATCTAAAAGACTATTGATTTGAACCTAGAAATCTAACAGCTAAAGCCTAAAAATTAACCAGGCAATCCTCTGATGTTTCTATACTCGCTTATGTCAATGTCAGATGGACGATGCACCTGAAAATGTAGTCAATGCTCCTATTCCTCCACAACCTGCACCTGTTGATCAAAACAACCAACCTGGACAAGTTGGTAATGGTAACGGTAACTTGGCTAATGAAAATGCTGAAGTGCTTGTTGAAGAATGCAAATGGACATCTGATGTATGGCCTCACTACACTATGGTTAAGCTTAATGGGGTTATTAAAGCTAAGTGCAAGTACTGTCGAAAAAACCTTGGTGGTGATACTCGTAATGGAACCTCGCACCTTAGGAATCATGTGAAAACTTGTATCCAAAAAAGGATACATGATGGTGCTAAAAATATTCTTTGCCCTAATTACAAAGCAACTGGAAAACCCCAATTATCTGCTACACAGTTAAACTTTGATGTGTCTAGGAAGGAGCTGAGCTCAATGATTTTGGTCCATGAGTACCCTCTTAGCATTGTTGAACACTTGGGTTCAAGCGTTTCTGTTGTTCTTTGCAACCAAAGTTTACTGTGCCTTGTAGAAATACTGTGAAGAAGGATATCTTGTCTTTGTATGGGGTTGAAAGGGGTAACTGCCAAAAGGTTATAGATGGTAATTTGGGTAGAATTGCCGTGACCACTCATTTGTGGACTGCCCCAAACCAGAAGAGGGGTTATATGGCAGTCACAGCCCACTTTATTGATAATACTTGGGAGCTTAGAAACTCAATGCTAAAGTTTTTGTATGTCCCTGCCCCTCATACGAGTGAGAGGCTTGCAAGAAAACTGCTTCGGTGTCTTCTGAATTGGAACATTGATGGAAAGTTGTCTGTAATCACCTTGGACAACTGCTCCACTAATGATTCCATGATTTCTCACCTAAAGAATAAACTTGTTTTGAATGACTTGTTGATGGATGGTACCTTGGTTCATATGAAGTGTTCTGCTCATATACTGAACCTAATTGTGAAAGATGGTTTAGATGTGATAAAGGATGGAATCCATTTGATTAGGGAGAGTGTGGTGTATTGGACTTCCACACCTAAGAGGGTCCAGACTTTCAATGAAGCTGTTAAACAGCTTAAGTTGGCTGCTGGGAAAAAACTTGTGCTTGATTGTCCAACAAGGTGGAATTCTACCTATGATTCTGTACAGAGATGTCTTTTTTCGTTTGAGACAGATGGATAGTCAATACACATCAGTTCATACTAATGATCACTGGGATTTTGCTGCTATTGTGATTGATAAACTGCTCATTTTCAGTGAGATGACTGCACTATTTTCTGGTACCAAGTACCCCATTACCAACCTGTTTTTCTCTAAGGTCTGTGATCTGCGATTGAAATTGAGTGAGTGGTGTGCTGATCTTGATCCTGTGATTTCTGCCATGTCTGGAAATATGTGGTTGAAATTCACAAAGTATTGGAATGATATACATATTGTTTTGGCAGTTTCAGTGGTTCTGGATCCTAGGTAAAAAATGCATGTCATTGAGTATTATGCTGCTAAGTTTGGCAGCTCTGATACTTACTTGGTGGCTAAGGATCTAAAACAGCTGATTTGTGGGTTGATTAATGATTATCAAACCAAGGCTGAAAAGAAATTTGGTTCTTCTGCCAATGAACCAATTGGAAATGCCTCTATTTCAGCCACTGATCTTGATTTCGAGTTTTTTGTAAGTCTGAGCAAAAAGAGCAAAACAACTCTATTACTACTAAGTTGAACCATTATCTTACTGAGGAACTTATTCCTCGTGATCCATCTGCTGAATTTGATCTCTTGATGTGGTGGAAATTGAATGGCCTTAAATATCCTACTTTGCAAGCAATTGCAAGGGACTTTTTGGCTATACCAATAACATCATTTGCTTCCGAGAGTGCTTTCAGCTATGGTGCGAGGTTGTTAGACCCCACCGGAGCAGGCTCGACTATTCTACTGTGGAGGCTATGCTGTGCAGTCATAGCTGGGTTAGGAAAGCCTGGCTAAGAGGTAACCTACAATATACTTCAAGTGTAGCATTTATAGTAACTTTTGGTTCATTTTAACAAGTGAGTTTGATTTATTTCAACAGAATCAGAGGTTGCTGTTGCTGTTGCTGTGGAGGCAATGGATGGATTGTTTACTGGGTTGTCAATTCATGATTCAAGTGTAGAAGA